TATGCATGGGTCAAGTTTCAAGCACATGGAATTATATACAATTATATTCGATTTTTGCCTCAGCTTAGGTGCACATTGATGTGCCCATTTTTTTCACAGACATGATCCAATTGGTATTTGGTATAACAAACACAAGCAACATATACAAGTTTTGGCATACAGCTGGCATACCAAATTCACAAAACGTAAGTGGGGATAAAGGGAACCAAGGTCCCAAAAAGGAGTTGTCCAAAAGATGCAACTCCCCACACAAAACTCTCGTCTGGGGACTTGGTGGATTTCTATTTGTGAGGTAAAATACTTCTTGGTCGAGCTGGGCTAAAGTACAAATGACGAGCTGAGCTTGGGTCCAGGTGGTCAGGTTGAGCTCGATATCAATGGACAAGTTGGGCTTGAGCCTTAGGCGGGATGTCTCCGAAGTATGAGTGCATGATAACTTTTTTAGAGTTCCAACTGTTCACATTTTTTTTTTAAATAAAAAATTTCAAAGAAATATTTGTCACAATGAGTCTAGCATAAGGAATAGGCCAGGAGATTGTATAAATTTCAGTTTGTGTTTAGGTTTAAAGTATTAATAGAACAACATGTTGAGGCAATATGGAGAATTGGAGAAAATTTCAAACCACACCATTTATAATATGATTCATATTCCTCCTCAAATAAAAATATAATCTATATCATAAAACATATAATTTTTTTATTTCATTAAAAAAAACCATAAAGTACATCTGACTGTATACATAACCAGTCAATGAATTGGTAATTGCGTAGGGAAGAACCTAAGGTATATAAACCCTAATATCCCCTCAACAAGATCCTTGATTAATTGACCTAGGAGAAAAGTATCCTAAACGTGAAGGGAATGGTAAAAGTGAAAGTTTATCGCTTTCATTCAACTCGTTTTTTATAGTTGCCTCATAATTGTCTTCATGTTTTTTAGATCCATCTAGTCGTCATTTCAAAAGAAGATCAAACTAGTAATATATATTACAAACGATATGAGGAGAGTTGGCAATCGAACTTAGGACCATGGATGCAGGGGTAAATACTCTTGACAACTTGAGTTACAAAGCCCTTACAACTGGTAGATATTCTAAATAAAGCAGTGTAGGGTGTTTTACAACTCACTTGTCACGTTGGGCATTGGAGATATTTACACACCAATTTGAGGAGGGGTGTTGGCATGTGATGATTAAGAGATTTGTTACTTTTTTATATATTTAAGTGTAATTAGATTTTACTTACCTTTTGTTAGCCCCCCAATGTTATCCTGTATATTTGCCTCTACAAGAAAGAGAATACATATAATAGTTTTACCCTAACTTGAATATCTGATCGATTTCCAAATTCTAACCCTTAAGGACAACGATGAGATTGCAGGGGCGGGTAAAGTTAGGAAACTGGGGTATTCTCATTGTAAATTGTTCTCTTTTAACCTTTTTTTTTATGGCAAACCAAAAATCACCTGATATATGAGCAATGCTGAGTATTCAATACACAAAATTTCGGGTATATGGCGAATGCTGAGTATTGATACTACGGAGAATTCAAGAGACACTCTTCAAGAATATATCATAAACCAAGATCCATCGGAGCTATTCATCTATAATTTTGATAGCATATTGATCGCAATGAACAATATAAACATCACAAACAAACTCGGGGAAGGAGGATTTGGTCCAGTTTACAAGGTGATTGTTTATTTGTTTTTCTCTTTCTAAAGGAAAATATAGTATCACACAGCTACAATAACAGATAAGGACATGAATGAAGTGATTAATTTGTAGGTACCCTAGAGAAGGGAAGGAAATAGCAGTTAAAGGACTATCTAGTAGCTCAGGGCAAGGCATAGAAGATTTCAAAAATGAGGCATTGTTAATCTCCAAGCTCCAACATAAAAATCTTGCTAGGATCATGGGCTGCCGTGTCAAAGAAGACGAGAAGATACTGATTTATGAGTTCATGCCAAACAGAAGCTTGGACACTCTTCTATTTGGTTAGTTTCACTGGACTTTATCTTTGTAATTTGCCTACTAACTTAAAGCCACAAATGAATTCACATGAACTAAATGTTCGGGAACAAAGAATCAAAATTATTTTCGATTGATACAAAGAATCACTGATTTATTTGCAACACAAACAGTCAAGCAAGACATCCTGCAGATTTAATGCTCATAACTGTAAATTGAATTGTATACTACATGAGTACATTTCAGTTCTGAAATTGATACTTAGGTGACGAGGGGTAAATTTAACTAAACAAACAAGACACAACAACTCAACAATCAAGAGAACATACAGAGCATGCCACAAAGTACCTGCAGCCCTAGAAGATTACTAGTGACAACCTAGGCACTCAGAAGGACCCATCAATCTAGGCATCCCCTGTGCTAGCAACAACTATGGTGAAAGTGTGTGAAGTCATCATTATCAAGTAAACAGCAAACAGCAGATATAGATGACTAGTCAACCACCAAGAACAGAAACCCAGAAAAATTACAGATATGCAAAACAGATTTTGTTTACCCAGAACCCCACCATTGGGAAAAACTGGAAGTCATCAACCGACTAGGCAATCCACTAAGTAGAAAAAGATTCTTACAAAGGAATACAAGCAAGCTCAAGCAAATCCTAGATCTATTTAGGAAAATGAGCTATACCTCCTTTGTGCAATCTTCTTCTCCAACTTAGCAAAGCTTGAAGCTCAGTTCTTCATGGCAATGGCAGCTCCTTCTCCAGCTCGATCATCCCATGGCACTAGCTTGCAAGCTCCAACTTAGAACGAAACCAAACTTTGGATTCATGGGAGAAAGACCAATTTCTTCAAGAAACCATACTCTTGAAGAAATCAGTCATGAATCCGATCTAGATCTATATGTGAGAATGATTTAAATAGCTAGATGTAGATTCATATTTCAAAAGCAGTTTTTCAAAAAGAAATCAATTAGAAAAACTCATAGATGAAATATATGGTTTACTCTTGAGGAAGAAGAAGAGAAAGATGGCAAGCCAATCTTTCCAAAACTTCCACACAAAAGAGGCGGCTTCCAAATGAGGGATTTTCTTGCTTTTACAGACAAAAGAATCCCTTAGGTCAGACTGACACATGGTAGCTGAGAGAGAAAATAGAATAGGACAAAACAGATGGTTAACCAGCTGGAAATCGCACTGAGCAAATATGACTAGTCATCTTTTATGAAAACAGTTTTAATGCATGATATGCAATGCATGATTTTCCTTTGTTAAATTGCTTGAACCTCCATAGGATAGATGAGATTTAAGAACACTTAGAGATGCTAATCTTAATCTATCCTTGAGCTTGATAAATACATATAAAAGACCTATTACAAAATTGTCAAGGGAAGCCAAAAGAATTAATCAAAATTCATACATTAACAAGTTCTTTATAAAGTAGAAGAGACAATGTTGAACTAGACCTGAAATCAATTTTGAATCTGATTACACCCTTGTTTCACTATTGTTCATACAAAGGCGTCAGTATTTTCTGTAGAAATTTAAACGTAAAAATCTAGTGACAGTTTCATTGTTCAATGCATAGGATAGGATATATGAATGAAACTATTGGTTAATTATATTTCGAATGTTTGCATTTAAAAGATCCAGCGCGGAGACCTGAGCTTGATTGGGGCAGACGCTTCAATATTATTCAGGGTATTGCTAGAGGGCTTCTTTATCTCCACCATTATTCTTATTTGAAAGTAACACATAGAGATTTTAAGGTCAGTAATATTCTCTTGGATGAGCAAATGAACCCAAAAATTTCAGATTTTGGATTGGAACGTATCATTCAAGGGACACAGAATATAACAAATACTCAGAAGGTCCTTTTCCTATTCTTGGAAGAACATCAAAACTTAAATATCAATGTTCAGCATATTGCCATTCATATCAATATATTAGTGAATTTATATGGAAGCAGCAGAGAATCAGAGATAACATGTAGGAAATCTAGCTGTACCATTCATTTTATTTGGAACCCTGCAATCTTAACTGAAATATTAGTTGCATGTCATTAAGATATAAATTCGGTGACACTTTTCTTAAGACCAGAAACAAAAGAAATACTGTCAGTTAATAGTAATACGAAAACTTTCAGATTTTGGATTGGCACATATCGTTTAAGGAACGCAGAGTCCAGCAAATACTCACAAGGTTGTAGGAACAATGTAAGCACCATCTCTTTCTTTTCCAATTCTCGGAAATCTTCTTTAAAAGTTAAATCATTGAACACGCTGTCACTCATATCTGAATAAATGGCCTAGGCGGGCGCTAGGCGGGCTAGGCGGGGGCTAGGCGGGCGCTGGCGCCTAGAAGAAAGAAAAGGCCATTTTGGAACTCCAAGGTCTGGGACGAGATGACGATGGTGCTATGAGGCGAGAGAGAGAGACGGCGATGAGATTGAAGAAGAAGAGAGGTTTGCGTGTTATGTTTAGGGTTTAGAAAAGGGCCTGGGCGAGAAAGAAGAGCTTGGGCTTCAGAAAATACAACATTAAATGGATTTTGCATCATAAAATCACTAAAGTAACCACTAATAAGTAACAAATGACAAATAAATATTTTAATATTTTAAATCAAATTTTTTTTATACTATTTATTTAATATATAATTTATATATTCTTTTATATTTCATAATTTTGGTATAAATTTATAATTTATAATTTATAATACTAAATAATTTATTTAAAAAAGAATTGGCACTTGCATAGGCCTCGATTACTCCTCTAGGCGCTAGGCCCTTGCCTGTCGCCCCTTTACTGCATAGTGATTTTTCAAACATTGGGATTAACATGTTTGTAAATCAAGGTGTACCAGCACTTCAATTTACAACCGGGCAATTTTGGTATAATTTTTCTCAATACTATAAACAAAGAAGCAATTTCGTCAGTTCTCAATTGATTGTGCAGTGGCTATATGTCTCCGGAGTATGCAATGGGCGGGATGTTTTCTAAAAAATCTAATGGCTACAGTTTCAGGGTCTTGCAATTGGAGATTATTAGTGGCAAAAAGAATACCAGCTTCTATTGCAGTGACCAACATATAGGCTTCCTAGCTTATGTAAGCTCACACTCTAAATCTTAATGCAAAATCATATCTTTCATACAGCTTAAGCAACCTATATGAAGCTAAATGCAGCGGAGTTTAACAATTCTAGCCAACATACATGAAATTTTGTCAGGCATGGCACTCATGGAATGAAGGCAGGGGTTTGGAGTTGGTTGATGAAGTATTGGCAGATTCATATTCACCTTCAGAATCTCATGGATTTCTAATTTTGAAACCCAAAGGCATTGCATATGCATGGGTCAAGTTTCAGATTGGCAAGCACATGGAATTGCATACAATTATATTGGATTTTTGCCTCAGTTTAGATGCAAATTGATGTGCCCATTTTTTTCACAGACATGATCCAATTGGTATTTGGTATAACAAACACAAGCAACATATACAAGTTTTGGCATGCAGCTGGCATACCAAATTCACAAAATGTAAGTGGGGATAAAGAGAACCAAGGTCCCAAACTAATTGTGGCTTTCTCTAAAAAAGGCTTCACCGTGAAAGAAACTGTGGCTCTATCAGGAGCTCACACTATAGGGCAAGCGAGGTGCGCAGTCTTCCGTGGACGTCTTTACAACAACACCCATATCAACGCTCCGTTTGCAGCAGCTGTGAGAGCAAAGTGCCCAGGCAATCGAGGCTCAGGCAACAACAATTTGTCTCAACTTGACGTCACAAGCCCAACCACGTTTGACAATGCCTACTTCAAGAACGCGGTGAGCCAGAAGGGGCTGCTGCACTCAGACCAGCAGCTATACAGTGGCGAGTTCACAAGGACCGCGGTGGATGCGTATGCCAATAATGCTGCCAGTTTTATGGAAGACTTTGCCGAAGCGATGAACAAGATGGGACGCCTTAGCCCTCTGACGGGCTCCAGTGGTCAAATTAGAACAAACTGTCGAAAGGTCAACTAGACCTTGTTTTAAGAACTACAGCTTAGCCTTGGCTTGGCTGGTTTGAAAATAATATGCCTTGCTTGTTCTAGAAATATGGATAAATTACACCAGTAGTTCTCGAGATTTCAGTATATGATTAGGATTTAGAATTAAAGATGTGCCACTTTTCTTTTTAACTGGATCCTTTGGGATGGGACACTTCTGCTGTCGGATCGGATGTTTCATATATAACAATGAATTAATTTGATAAATTATTTAAAAGGGTTGAAATCCAAGTCTAATATGATGAGGCTTCATTGTGCCAAACTATGAAACAAAGATTGGACACTGGACTTTTCAAACCACTTGAAAAACATGTGGGTTTGGAAATAGGCCAGCAAGGGAAGCTTCATGAAACCAACAAAATGCCCTACCAATTCTTCTCTTTAATTTATTTTCCAAAAGAAGAAACACCAAAGCATGCACGTGGCATCGCTCGAACCTTCTGGTCTCACACTTATTTAGACTTGTGGTAGTCATTTTCACATGCTTGACTGTTTTGATTATGAGAGCTGGAAATGGATTTGACCTGTTTCGTAATTTTTCGATTTCACCACAAGGAAAGTTGAAGTTTCAGGATCAAACATTTTCATAAAAGCATTTGAGTTTTATAGCACATATTTTACAACAAATGTTCAATCATGTGTCCAGTCACAAATATATAATAGCACAGGCACGCAGGCAAGCACCTGGGAGTGTAAAAATACATAAAAGTGAAGTGGTAGGCACACCATTCCAGGGTATCTTTGTTGCCAAGACTAAGATTCGGACAGTCAAGACAGAATGGATACATCATTCCTCAATCACTCCAGTATCTCTTTGTTGCCGAGACTAAGAGTCAGACAGAACAGTTACAACTGTCACTGGCGATGCTTCCTCGGTACTAGCTACGCTTGAATTGCAGGCATGAAGTGTAGTGCATATGTCTGTTGTTTCAAGGAACTGCTCTGCATTGGCAAGAAATAACGGTCCATATTCGAAAACGATCCTCTTGCACTGCCAAAAAAATTTAGGATATTAGAAGAACTAAACGAACGTCCTGAAGAAGTGAAACTACATTGAATGATGAATATCAACTTTCAGTTTGATCAGCCGTTCATGAAAATCTCTCTTCTAGCTATATTCTAGTCCAACATTATTGGGCCAATAAATCTTTAGTAAAGCTAACTTTCTGGTAAAAACACACTATAGATATTGACTAATTTTCTTAATTGTCCTCACCTTTTTGGCATAGTTCTCCACCGAATTGCACGCCTTCAAAAGCAACTCAATGATCTCCAGCTGACAGAAAAAGAAAGAGAGCATTTAAGTTGTCTAGGTAGAATCATGCCATTTGGCTCATGGAATATAATATTTCTGAATGTATATGGATGAATGAAGTATCTCCAATAAGAAATGTCATACTATAAGTAATCATAGGCATTTCTCACTAGAAATAATTGCAAAGTTGCTAAAATCAAGAGAAATTCCAGCAGTATGTTCTACCCACACTCCAACTGAAAAGTTCCTTATTAAGTTTTCACTCAGGATTCAGGTACATCTTTTTAGTTCTCCTTATGGTCAATGCATTTATAACATCACTATATTACTCATATCTACCAAAATTGTATTGGTATCTCATCTACGTTCGCAGTCAGAAGCATTTCTGAAAACATACATCCCAAATCCTGATAAATATTCCACACAATTGTTCAAAGCTGCCAGTGTATCTGTAAGCTTTGCAACTCAACCAATTCTGTCAGTCTATCTAAGTAGTGGCTGCTCATTTACAAAACAGTTTCTACCCCTCTTTGTATACTTTATAATATCCTTCTACTTTTTGCAAAGGGTAGTGGTGGAGGTTATCCAAGCTTTGGAGAGGGCTTGAAGGCGATTACGAAAAGCTACCAATAAGAGGATAAAAAGCATTTCAGGTTTAGAGTCATTTATTATTTATTTGGCCTTAGATGGATCCAATAACAGCAATCTAGCATGGGTCAAGCGTGGTACATGATTTAACTCAATTCACATGTGCAGTAGTTTGTGACCTTTTGGATACAAACTAAATATCAGTGATTAATAAAGAAGGAATACGAATTTAGATTGATGTATGGACGGCTTCAAGTTTTCTTCTTAAGCTTGAGGATTCTATAAAACTGGCACAGGGTTCCATCTTGTAAGTTCCAAAGGATAATGGTAATTATAATTAATCACACCAAAAAAAAAATATTTGTGGGCAAGTCAAGGTCAAGAAAAGTAAACATTAAGAGCTACTAATCAAAATCTGATGAATGAATAGTTAAATGAATAGTGCACGTACGAACCTGTGTATCAGGATCTTTCAACTTAACCAATATTTCTGAAACAGCACGGTGACATAATCCACAGCTATCCTCTCGGAGTTGTGAAGAAAATAAAGCAACCTGCTGACAGAGGTTGACCTTCCGGCAGAACTCACTAGGTTGTAGAGAGGAGACCTCTAAGAAGAAGAGAGGAGCATAATAGTCCACCAAAGTGATACACTGTCCCACAAAAAGAAAAAGAGAAAGAAAGAGAAAATAGACATTCAGGATGTTTTTTCCGGAGGTAGGGGGCTTGGGATAATTATCAGAACTCTATAAAGCTTCTTATAGTAATAAATTTCATAGCGTATTAGAACTCAACAAAACTTCTTGTAAATTTGTACTGACATGCTCAAAAACTAATAGAAACAATTTTGGGGATGGCAGCAGTTAACCAGACACATCTTTTAGTTTATGTGCAGTTTCTACAAAACTATTGTCGCAATTAGAAAAGGCAACTACCTGCTGCTTGAAAGAGCGCAATTGAGAGCAGGTCTGATGTAGGGTTTCAATGATCTCAGTCTGGGTCTTGTTTTCACCAAGGTAATCAAGTGCCTGACCAGCAAACTCCTCACACAATGTGCACACATTATCATTCCCAACAAATTCATCCCCAGAAACTTGTAAAGTTTGAATTTCCACCTCTTGAATATGGTGGGCTGTCTTTGTAACTGAATCAGAGAGTAAAGCTATTAGTTAAGCAATATGTTTGCTGCATAAGAAGCAATTACTTCTCCAGAAAAATTGAGGTGTCAGTGGGACCCTAGATTTTCAACGACAATTGAATTACCAAAAACATGTTCCACTTTCATTCTCATTGGAAAGTGGATTTTTTTACCTGGTAAATTTAGGTTTGCCAGTTGTCTAGCATCACCAGCCCAACTAGCTCCCAGCACAAAAAGAACTAAGACCCCAACTCTCACATCCATGGTGCCTGAAGCTGCAATCATCCAACAACATAAGAAGGCCTCTATGAAAAAAAAATTTAGTACTTGAAACGATGACAGCCCATAATTGATCATACATGTAGGTTCACAACATAAAGAAACCGAAGAAAGTGGCGGTGAGATAATCTTAATGTAGTAACAAGAGAGCTTAAGGTGCAAACAAGGTTCAAGAATAGATAGAAGACCCAATCAGAATTTTGTGACTTCATTCTAATTACATTCTAAGATTAAAACTGGGAAATTATTGCCTTATGTCACGAGATATCAACACAACAAGGGCTCAATGAACTAGGATAAGGGCCATAGCCTTCCATTCATCACTCACTTCAATACTGTTTGTAACACACCTGTCTAAGTTTTGATCAAGCTGAATTCACCAAACCAAAGTGGGCAAGGAAAAGCTAGTAGTCTACTGGAAGCTGAATTCACCACTCTTTGGATTTGCTAGTCATGTTCATGGTGATTACCCAATTGAAATGATATTACTAGTTAAAACATAACAGCAATAACATCAACAACCAAACAAACACAACCTTACTTAGAGACCAAAAGCAAGAAACTTTGTCAACGACATAGAAACAGAACAACGAAATAAGCAATCATACATAACCAAATACCAGACATGCAGAAAACATTGAAAGGAAAAGCAAAACAAAAAAACTAGATAGAGAGATATCAAATAAAATCTTAAAAATCTCAGCTTGGTACTTTCTGCTGAGAAAACGTGGGAAATGAAACGAGGAACAAGTTTGAGCCAGGATTTGGAGTTATACTTGTAAATATCTTACGATTTTCGATGCAGGAAAAACAAGAAGGAGCAGAATTGAAACCCCAAACAATCGGAGATTGATAGATGGATAGATATATTTACCTGGGTTAGTGGAAAAAACAGGATTTTGAAATTCCGCTTCTTTCCTTTCAAGTGTTGGGGGGTTTGGCGATGCGTTGAATTGTCGTTGGTGGTTGCTTGCTTCCTTTATTTATACAGCTGCCTATCTGGGTTTGGCTTCTCTGTGCTACGCAACATGCCACATGGACTGCTTCCAACGTGTCACATTGGAAGTTCTGATCTCCTGCCTATCTAATTTTTTTTTTTTTTGGACGAACCTGCCTCTCCCATTAGAATGGGGGGGTTTGTCACTTTTTTTTTCCATGTAGTATACTTCTTTTTTATTCTTCGTCCCTTTAGAGCATTCACAGAATCACAGTGAAATTGTGTATTTTCGGGGGTGTAAAGCCATTTTTATATTCCCTTTACACCTTCAGGGGTTGTAAATGTGATTTTTGCAGTATAATTAATTTCTTTCACCTTTTCTGGTGTAGGTCCCACTTTTGTCCACTTTTTCTCACTTTTTTTCTCATGTAGGTCCCACTTGCAAGAGATGTAAAAAAAGATGTATATGTGTATCTAAATTTTCATCTCATAGTGGTGATGCAAATTTACACTCATTTAGAGCATCCACAGTGGGGGGGTGTATATGGGGGTGTATGTTAAATATACACCCCGAGTCACCGGAATGGTCTCCAATGGTGAGATGTAAATGGATGTAAATATACATCACCACCATGGGGATGTAAAATAAAATGTATATTTACATCCATTTTTACATCTCTTGTAGGCGGGACCCACCCGAGAAAAGAGAAGAAAAATGAAGAAAAGTCAACATAAAAGGCTGGGACCCACGGCTACACCCCCGAATTTACACCCCCCACTGGAGCAAAAAACATATTTACACCCCCCGGAGGTATAAAGGGGATGTAAAAGTGGCTTTACACCCCCGAATTTACACC